CGATTCATATCGATTTGCACAATCCCCGCCTCAAAGATAAATCGAACCGGGACAACGGATTCGCGTCATCCATCACAGTCCCAATAAACGCAGCAGTCGGATCAGTGGATCACGCCCGACCTCCAACGGAAATCCCACAGGTCTTTTTTTTTTTTCATCACGTTAACGACGCATTTCTTCCAAGCAAAATCCGAAAGATTACACATTAGCCAATTTAGTACGCGGGATTAATTGCGATAACTACGATACGGGGTTTTTCCGGTTGGAGCGTTATCATCCCCTTAAAAAAATAAAATAGTTCAACCAAGCAAATCCATTTCGTCAACAATACTCTCCTCATTCGTCTCGCGGAGGTCCTTGAAAAATCCATGAAGTGTCCAAGAAATGTATTCACCCAGCGTCATCGATTTTCCACTATCCATCTGCACCGGGTCCCATGAGCACATTTCACCATCACGCGACGGTTTATCTCCTCTTTTTTTCCGAAAGCGGCGCACATTCACTCAAAAATTCCACCAGCCGACACAATCACTCCGAAGAATGGCACACACAAAAACAAAGCGAAACAATTGGATCAACAGCCACGAGCTCTTGGGCTTTATCGATAAGCATAAAACAATTCGGTGGGCGGAGATTGGCGACAACGGAGAGGAATTCTCTCACATTTCGTGAGATACACACGAACACACACCACGTAAAAAACACTCAATCAACCCCATCAAAATCGCATCACGAATCCGACAAAACAATTTGAGTATAATTGTATATATATATATATATATATATACATATATATAATATATATATATATAAATGAAGTATGTAAAATAAACGATATAAGTATGAATGAAAAAGGCCATGCACACCTCAATTTTCCGTCCCTCAACCACCGTGCCGTTCAGCTTCTCTCGTGCTCTGTCTGCATCAGCACTACTCGCAAATGTTACGAACCCGAACCCCTGCATGCAAGACAAAGACAAAAATCGGTTTTCGCTTCAGTCACTGGAGTCCCATGCAGAGAGCTCGACAAAGGGTCTCCCCGACCCATCGGGGAAACCGAACGAACACCAATTCAACTCCGTCTGCGCAGGGTATTGATCGATAAGAAACGAGTCCTACTACAGAGTAATGTACATGTACTTCTTCCTCTTCATCTCAGGTGCAGTTCATTCGGGACTTTCTTATTTTTCAAAACAGGGCTTTTCAACATTTTTTTTTTGGGGGATCGTACCAATTCTAAGACTGAGACAGCGCACCACCTCTTCGACACCCCGAAACATCAATGGTTTGAACTTGTATCAAGGACATAGAAGTTAATAATTGATTCAAAATTTTAAAACTACAATTAATTTATAATTACGGTAGACCCTGATTTTTTAGATTTTCCCAATACTTTCTATCTTGCAACTTGACGCTATTTTTTTTACACAACTGTATTCAATAGAGACACAATTTATTTTTGTTTTTACCCCATGCACCAAGAACCGATCTACGAACTGTAAAAAACCGTGTACCCCGACAGGATTGCCCTTAAAAAATCAGGATTTCAAACGTGAATCCTTGACTACTTAGCTTATACTTTACAATAAATACGTACAATCAAGCAAAAATTTGGGTGATTTGTTAAAAAAGTGATGAGTATACTGTAATAATGGAACAATAAGCGAAGGATGTCCTCAACTCAAGTTCAAAATAAATTCAGTATATAAGAGTGCCTGCACACGTTATCCACATTTAATGAGGTGGTCTGTGAGCACTGGCTCGTCTTGGAAGTGGCACATCACCAAAAAAAGGTTGAAAAAGCCTCATTTCAATTCACATTGATTAACTTCGTAAAATATCGAGATAAACGATTTCCCCATTTCCCAAATGAACCACTCACTGACGCCGTTTCCTTTTCCTTCTCCTAAACCGAGACAATCAAAGCTTACCTGTCGCTCACACTACGGCTTTCAGAAGAATTAAAAAAAAATCCTCACTGGACACGCGGATTTACGATTAATGCATTTTTTTCATTATCGTTAATGACTCCAAAGGACATCATTCCCTCGACCACAGCCATCAGAAGCGCGGCTCCGATCTCCCATACTTTTCCGCAGGGATATTTTCTTCTCAAATACTGTACAGTACTCAATCCCGCGCCTAGAAAGTACTCTTTCGCTCGGCAAGCGTGACGAGGGTAAATGATAAAAATGAGCAAAATGATGTGCATGAATGAATCCCGAGGGAGCTCTGAGGATTGAAACGAACGAAGGAACGGATCGTCGAGTCATTGGTACCGTACTGAGTAAAAGCTACAGCAGCTATGACTGATGATGCAGACGTAGATTAATTAAAGAGACTGGCATCTCAATGTCACAAGGATAAGAAGCTAAGTGGCAATAGCAACAAACCGCCCCTCGCCTGATATACACTAAGAAGAGACTTGCTTTCGTAAGACGAGTCACTCTGGAAAAATGTGCAGGCATTTGTCAAGAGAACGGAGCATTTTTATGAAGATGTCCAGCAGAAGAATCACTCAATACACGACATGCAACCCAACTATTACTTGATTGGAAATTAGTCAATTTTTTAAAATTATTCCTTCAAAATGCGAAACTGGGCTCTGAACGAAGTACAGTACATGCTATACATGATCATTTTCAGACACTGACATATGACATTTTTCGGTGGAACGTTAAGAGCAATAAAAAAAATTTTGAGTCATGGATAAAAATTAATATTTTCAGGTGACGTAATTTTCTCCCAATTTACGAAAAAAATTATTGAACTACTGTGTATTCTATTGAATACTCAACTTTTGGAGAGAACGCATTCATTTGTTGAACCCAAGGGGTTTGAAATACTGTACAGTAGTCTCAACCACTTCAAATTTTTTTTTTTTTAACAAGGTCAGTTTTCCGATGATTTTTAAAAGACTACAGATCTTTCACAGCCATCAGCAACGCAGAATTCTCATGAACGAAATTTAATGAGTATGAATAAAAATGACTTGGTTGACGCAAAAAATTGACAAACGTTCTTTGACTTTTATAAAAAGGTACCATTTTGTGTTTTTGCATCATTTCTCAAGCATGCTTTCCACACCCAGTGATTTGTACTCACTACATTCTATTCGGCAAGTTATTTTTTTCTTCAATCAGGCAAGAAATGCTCCATGACTTCAAACATTTTTCCAGAGATTCCTCGGCATACTCACGCATCCTGATTCTCCTCACAACAAATAAAGCAACCATACTTCGCAGGTAAAGCTATGACGCGTAAATTTTAGTTTCTCAAATGGCAGAAAAAATTGACATTATTTAACGGGACGATTATTTTCTCATTTTTCCTTTCCGCAGAGAAGTAAGACAGATAAAAATGATACGGTCAATAAAGAGCGGCTGGGACTCCCAACATGCGTACGAAAGGCCAACTCAGGCATGTCACGCTTCCACCTAAAAAAATTCCCGGCAAGCGAATTTCGAAAAATAAAATAAAATACGAGTAATAAGGAGCAGGCCCAACGCCTCCAAGAAAGAGAATAGTGCTTCACGCACTGGGATTAACGAGCGGCTCACAGGTTTTTTTTTTTTTTTTTTTTTTTTTCCGGAAACGGTCCTCATAAGTCCAACAACGTTCGGGGGACACGAACCCTCCGGGGAAATCACTCCACGGTGAAACACAAACCCGACTTTGCTTCCGCTCACACCCCTTGTTGCAAGGGGGTTCTTAACCAGCTGGTCCATGCGAACCTCGGTGGGGTGTGTGGAAAGCATAATTGTGGGTGCGTGAGTGCCAACGACATTCTTGCCTGCATTAGCGTGATTACGTGAGGGGGTTCAGACTTCGCTCAGGGGATCGTAATGGAACTCTCGTGGTAAATTATGACAATTTTGATTTGGCTGAGCTGAAAATCCCGCTTTAAGACGAATATAAGTTATACGTACAGTATTTCCAACTTCCACTCACTTAAGAATAGTGTACAGCCTTACAACTATGTATTGGCAACTTACTCTGAATTCGCACGCTAAATGTCAGAGGCAAATAAAATATGCTCACATCTAAATCATTAAAATATCTTTTTGGCACCATTCAAACCAAAATAAATTTAAATTTAAAGCGCGATTGTGAAAAAGGATGAACTTTTCAGGCATAACTTTGCCCACACTAAAAAATGATTCAACTAAAGGGCGAACTGAAGGTTGGGTTTCTTTTGAGTCGGTCATCGCAATGAAAGTGTTATAAAATACGTTTCCATTCAAAAGTCGGCGAACTTGTATTTTACAACATAAATTAGTTCAGGCTCATAAAAAATAGTTCTGTATGCCATCGATTCGACTGAAAAAATTTCAGGTGCGTCTTTGGTTGAATCCTACATTTGCATATCCAGTAAATATTTTTCTTTACGAATTTCAACTCGTACATCACAAAAACGAAAATTAAAAGACCTGGACCAAAAAATATTAGAACAGCTCATCACAAATCATTCGTCGATTCTTCTCGATTTAAAGGAATTAAAATTCATCATATACTGCACATAAAAAATAAGGATAGTGTGAGGGAAATTATGAAAAACCCAACGGCAACGAAATTGCCATCTTATCCGGGTCAATCGAGACTATTACAAGAGGGAAACAGAATTCCATAACCCTCGATTACCGGAATACCGCCGCTATACTTGGGCTACACCTCATTAGCTAAATAAGGGCAAAGGAGGGTTCGTGGGCCGAACGACTTCGGAAACGAGGACCGTCAATTAACCATGGTACAACTTCTTTTTCTGCGGATATCCGAATACCAAACCACTTCCCCATCCGAACAGTCACATGCTGCGATGAAGGAACACGGGGCTAGTCAATCTCAGCCCCACGCATGCTCTCAGTCCTCTTCCAGCACACGAGAAGACGGATAAAAATTAATGAATAAACGAGGAGACGGAGTATGCAGCAATGAAAAAACACGTAACACTTAAGCGAGGCGGGGGTTTCAAAAGAGGGGGGACGCAAAGATGGGCTCACCGAAAACATTAACTCTCTTTTATCCTAGGGTAAAACCGGCGGGTCGCCACGTCCTGCTTTACTGCCTTCTCAGATCCCCAACTGCGCTCTTTTCATCATCTCTATATGCAGTAAAAGCGGAGGAAACGCTCTTCAACAGCTTCCCGATCGTCACAAATCCACCATTTTTGAAAAGGAAATTTTTGGTCTTCCGATGAAGCAAAGAAAAAAAACCCTCCTTCACTCATTCACTCCGTTTTCCCACGAGGCATCGACCTCTCTACGAAAACGTTTAACCGATGAATGAATTCCATCGTCTCCAGTCCACGAATTCCTTCAACAACCCCCACAAGAATTACGCAATTGAAATCAAAGGAACTGGAGATTGCTTCAATCTGTATTCCTTTTGAAGTCGCTCCTTTCAGTTACACGGTCGGACCAAATATTTCCCCAAAAACGGTTAATTTTAAGGGATATTCACGAAGCCTTTTTCTCCAGATATCACCACGAAATTTAATCATTTGCAAATGAATATTACGAGGGTTGGTTCATGAAATGTTGTTAGTCTTAAGCCTCCCTCCAGGAATTCTTGTTCGATGAAAATAGATGATCTCCCCAGGAAATAACACACGCTTCTCTAAACCAGGTTGAAATTGATATAGGAGTGTTTTAAGTTCACCTGTACACTGGAAAATTAACTTTCACTCGCCAGACAAACGTTCCTGACACTTGTAAATGCTACAAATAAAGTTATCGATTCAAAATCCTCGCAGTGACGATTTTTCGAATCCGAACATGAAAAAAGTATCAGGTCTCGATAAATTTAGGCGAATGATACTCACATTTACGCAAATTATCTGAAAACCAACGGAGGTTTACCTTCTACTCAATTGCAGTTTTTCGACGGATTCTACTTCAGGAAGTCCGGCACATCCGGGCATAGACTCAACTCGAGAACCACCCCTCGCACATTCAATCCCATTTTAAAAAGTCACAATTCATCAAGTCTCTCCATTTTTGTGAGTGTCGTTAAATTCATTAAAAAAAACTAAATCTTTGGTCGAAAGACTTCGTGAATAACCCTCGAGAAAACGACTCCCAACGAGGTCCTGAAAAACCGTCGTTGAACGCCCCTAGCCTTCCATAGCCGACCTGCTTCCAAAGCAAAAAACGGCCGCCCTCGCGCGCTAATTACGCCGGTGGCCAAGTGATCGACGCCCAATAAATCGATCATGAGCTACGCCTTTCACGACACACATTAAAAAAATAATAATAAAATAAAAGGGATGACCATCAGTTGGCCCGACAGCCGAGATAGCTGGTAATTCAAGACGCACGTGGCGACCCCAACACATATTTGCGCAGGAAAGTAGTCTTTCGGATGTCGGGCCAACTGCATCCATCCTAGGCCTCACTCACTGCCTGCGCTGAATCATCAACTGTCCTTTCATTTACACTTTCGATATAAAATATTTTTAAAATAATTAAAACTAATAAATAAAATTTGGAATTCAATGAGTGGCGAGCGAGGGCAATGGAGCAGGAAAACTCACCTTGGATCCTCGTTCATTGAAGATGATTTCTACGTCAAGAATCGTCCCGAATTGCTGCGAACAGACACACCACAAAAATACACATTTTCATCAAACCAAAGCGAACTTTTTTCATAATGAAAAGAAAAAACAATGGCTTTGACGCAGGCAAAAACGCAAAAAATACGTAGCATTGACGTGCTAAGCAAAAAAAAAAAAAATCCATTTCATAAAGACGGAGAAAATCCGCACGAGTTTTTCCACGAACAAGAGAAAATTATAATTTTCATTTCAGTTGCTTCAACGAAGGATGCCGTTCGTTCAGAAGCATGATCAAGTCCTCTCGGATTCAAAAATACTCCTTCCCGGAGATGCAAAGTTACTTTCGGGTACCCAAGAAAATAATTTTTTTCTGCGCACAGGATGTCATTCTGGCGGTGATTTAAAACGATACCAGAGCAGCTCAACTTCCGCTCGAAATTCCCTCTGCAGACGTCGAAATGAACAGACAACCCGCAAAAAATAACGGAAAAAAAGACAATTGAAAAAAGGGAACAGAACATAAAACTCACCCCAAACAAGGCCCTAAGGTCAGGATCTCTGAACCTGAACGGTATGTTCGACACGTGCAGCCTTTTCGGCTGTTCTTTGCTCTGGTCGATCCCTCCTACACCCATCACGGGTGTCGGTGTCCCGGCGCCATTCTCCACAACGGCTTGCTCGCCGGTCTGCGAAACCAACACCATTTAAAAAATCAACGCTTCTACCTCAAAAAAATATAAAAAATTTCAAGTCCGATCCTTCGTAATCCTTCTCCAAGAGGCAAGCTCGTCAACGAAAACCTGAACCCCAATTTGTTCTTCCTCGTCAATTTTCACATGCCTTCGACGAAACCGTCGTCAATCTACACCATCACACACTACTACAAAAAATGTAGAACGCTTTCAAAATAAACTCCCCGAACTAATTCTCAAGTTTCACATGCCATTTGACAAAAGCATTCCGACCGACATGCACGAAAAGAAAACGGGATATACGGTATAATCAGTGCTGTGGTGCAGAGGGTATCAAACGGCCTGAGCCGGAAAAAATCCACCCGCTTAACACAAAGATCGGCAATGAAAAAACGGAATTTTGAAAGTTACGTCTCCATATACAGTACAGTACCTCAAAAATAAAAACAGAAAACGTGCACAGCTTGTTCTGTTCCCTCATGGGATGTGCAGCTACGGGCAAATACGAGTTTTTCGAAAGCTGCTACAAACACCATCACAACGCATATAATTTTCCTTTTCAACATAGGGACAGAGCCTCCACACGTTCCAGTCTACATTCCACACTTGCAGCGGGGAAAAAGGCGTTCAATTGTCTTTGTTTTTTTCTGTTGTTCAAGACAAACTTGGGGAAAAAGTCGCAGTTCAATACACACAGAACCAGAAAAGCGAGGCAGAAGTGATGAAACCCAGCACCAGACCTCTGTCAGTCACGTCAGTCCGTCAATTTCTTTCAGAAGTAAAGTACAGCACACGTAAGAAATAATACAGCTGTAAAATTTCTAACCGAGATTTCTCTACTCGGGATGTTAGCTAATGAACTCATTGTAATCCCCAACCTATTCGTAAAATTGGTTATACTGTCGAAGAAATATTCGATTTCAACTTTCAAGTTCCTTCTGCGTGTTTCTTTCATTTTGTATTCGACTTATTTTCAAAGGAGCAAAAAAGCTTTAAAATGTGCTCTGAAGTTTCAACTTCTGGATAAATTGAGAGATTTCAGCTGACGTCGTTAAGAGAAACCTACGAAATAAAGTTTCAAAATAATTTATGCCTATAGTATGTTTTTCCAAATACTGTAACTACGCCTGCAAATTAAGCAACGGAATTCAATCGATCGTTCATGACTGCTATTGCTAACCAAATCCAAGAATTGAATGGGGGTAAAACAGGAGGCGCATTCCTGACTCAAATGTTACACCAAAACAGGTCAAAAAATTTTACACCGGAAAAAAAGGGGAAAGAAGGCCGACAGTGAAACGAAGGACAGGGCTTGTCTCATGTCTGGGGTAGAACTAGCGACTATCGCAAATAATTTGAACGCAAGGAGATGAAAGAAAGAAACCAAGGGAAGGATCACACTAAAGAAGCTGCTCTTTCTTTCTCTCCCCCTCCCTATATTTATTTTCATAGATTTTTGGAGATTTTTTTTCTTTAGTATAAGGGCATACTTGGTCCAGTTTGACGTAGGCTCCAGGCAGCCGTCCGTAGGCGCCCATTTTCTCCAGGATCGACGAAAACATGGAGTTCTGGGTTACCTTGAAAACGGAAGAAAACCGCGGGACGGGAATGTGAGACCTGAAACGCTTCCCGAGGGGGATTTGCCCCGCGTTTCGCAGGACTCAAATTCCCCCTCTTCATTATGAACAAAACACAAGTCACATTCAGCACATGGAACAACGAAAAAACTAAAATAAAAAATGTAAAACAAAATAGCAATACAATGATGCGCGACACGCACCATTTCCCACCCTCGAGCAACTTCATTTCTCATATTGACAACCGCACGCTTATGCAAAATATTCGTCTAGAAAAATCTTCCAGCAAAATTTTTTTTACGAGATAAGCGAACTGGGAGATGAATTCCGGAAAATGCCATGCGTTGTCATGCAACTTCCCACGAAAATAAATAAAAAATCCACACGCAAAAGCTTCAATTATTCTTTTTTCCCGTGCGAAAAAAGGCAGGATGGCGAGGACGCATGCCTAAACAGCAAATCATCTCTCAGGAAATGCGCAGATGATTTCTAGGGAAATTAATACACGAATCTACTTTTCCGAAAATGGTTTATAAAAATTGCAAGATCCTTTCTTCTTTCGCACGGAATATTCCACTCGGTCACACAAACGAAACGAGTCCCTCTTTCAACGACAAGCATATCGTGTTTCACAAGTGCTCCTGACCCCGTTCCACAACCCTTTCATGTGACCCCAGGAATATTTCGCTAATCGAAAAAGGGAAAATAGTTCCGTTGTTACCAACTCCATCGCATATTGTCTGAGAGCCACATTATCCCATGCAATTTCTCGTGTCAACATTTGGCAGCTTAATTGTTCGGAGAAGCGAAGGGGTTCATGCACGACGAATCACTTTTTGAACATAATTTCAGCCTCTCAACGGGCATTTATCCAACACTTATTTTAAAAACTCATTGCTGCATACATTTTTTCGTTTAAAATACAGTACTGTACATGACATGCGGCAAGAAAAATGCGGGTGAAGCATCTAAAATTCAAATTTTGGACGATTTGTCTGAAGAAAAATTTCCCTGGGTATGCATGCAGATTGCGAGAATAACACAAACGCGTAAGACACAAGGTGCACGTAAATAAAAGGACGTTGAAAGAACATGAACAATACACAGATGGTGATGGGTACTCATTCGGTGGCATTAAACGAAGACCCACGTCTCATTGAAAAATTTGTCGCATTTAATCAGATTATTGATTATATTTTTTAAGCTAAGGTTAAACAACAGGTATCTCGCATCAATACAGTCAAGAACTTCCGCACTGCTTTTGGACTGAATCGCTCGTTGAAACAAAAATAGTACCTTCCGAAACCTTCTTTTTTCCAAATAATGAAGTTGTCAGCTCCGCATTGAAAATTTCTCACTGCGATACCACGAAGTATAGAATTGATAAATGGTGCAGCGTTTCTCTCAAATTGAAGTTCCCCAAGTATTATTATTCTCTTTCTCCCCAGACACAATTTTGATCTAGATTTTGAAGGGCGTCCAAAAATTTATTACGCAGCCAGAAATTCGCCAACTCACATCACCGATTTATGTTCCTGCAAATAAAACTTGATAGTCCTCGCGTTTACAATTCGTTTCTCCAAACTGGGACATATTTCATCATCGTCTGTCAGTGGAACGGGGAAAAAGGTAATATTGATTGAACGTAACCCTTCATTTTTCATTCTGAACTACAATATTTCAAATGCTCCAATTGTAGATGAATTGGAGGTAACTGACTTCCACGGGCTGACCAACTTTTCACAGGAAATTTTAAAAATAAGTAGGGCAATTGCGACGCCCAGACCATTACCAATAATTGCCGATTTCGTTTTCGTACTTTCCCCATTTTCCATTTTGCGTCCGCCCTGATTTCACAATGAATGATGACTGAGAAACTCATTTCCATCAATTCATAATTTATTGAACCTTCCAACTAGAGTTATTAAAATTTAAGCTTTTTATGGTTTCCTGGAGGAGCTCAGTGCAGCCAAGTTAATCGAGAAAAAAAATCTACAACGTTCCCCACTTTGAAATGGTTCGCAAGTGATATTAGAAACTCGGGACGGGCAACAGCATTTAAAATTTTAAAAGAAAAGAAGTGTCAAGAATGGCTTTTGTGCCTTGTGGAATACTTCAATCATGGGATCAGGAGGGGCTGACATTTGCATTCAAAGGAAGTTAACAGTACGTCGAAAGATGTAAACAAAGGATCACATCACAGATATTTTACAAATTACTGGAGGGTACAGCTAATTTTTCATCCAAGTACACGGAAATCAGGTACCCATCGTACGTCCCCATGTTCATGATGAAAAAAAGGCCAAAAGTTGCATTAATGGAATATAATACAGTAGGTACTTCACTTCTTAAAATAAGAGGACCTGAGAAGTTTATCTAAATGCGCGTCCAAATATAAAAATTTTACAAACGAATCATTTTTATATGATCGGTGTTACATTAATTGTCTAAAAGTGCACGGACATCAGATCCCTGTTACGCTAGCTCACTCTGAAATTAATTTTTCGCAGCAAAAAAAAATTAGGATTTTGAACGAAATCTTCAAGAGCGGCGCAAAAAAGGTTTCGGACGCCCTTCACACATGACGTCAAAAATTAAAGGGATCGCACGCGTGAAAAAAAAAAAACTCGACCTTCAAGAGCTGAATGTTTCAATGTAACATATCCGACCAACAAGGACGCAGACTCACTTGCTGGTCAACCAAGACCTGCTGACTGTTGGGCGCAGGTGGAGTATACGCCAGTGGCAACTCCGGCTTCACTTCCCCATTGGCATTGGTGGTCATCACGACGCTCTGTTTCCCGATCCCGGGCCCGAGACCCACCGACGTGGGCACCACCGACTGCGACATGCTCGTCGTCGTGGTGGCGTTCACCATGCCAGCTTGTTGGAGCGCCGAACTGGTTGCCACCAGGCCTGCCGCCGTCGGGTCTCCGTTCTGCACGAAGGACGCCGCTGTCGGGTAGGCTGAAGCAGCTGCTGCCGCGCCCAGCTGCGCACCCTGTACCATCTGCGAAGACACCAAATAATTAGATACTCTTCTCTTTAAAAAATGGGTACGAACATAAACATTAATTTTTATTACTGTAATATTTTGCATTCAAATGCATTTAATCATCAAAATTGGATACAGGGATAGCTACATCTTATCCCGTTTGTAAGGCTCACATCCAAATAAATAGAGATCAGTGGCACAATAATGTCAATCATACTTTTTTTTTTCATAGGTGCAAACTTTTCCGAGAAAATTTTTGTTTACCACAGTATACCCTCGATTTTGTACAGTTAAACCTCGATTTAGTACCACCATTTGGTGGCTCTAAATGAGGGAGGCACTAACTCGAGGTTTTACCGTACAAGCCCACAAACATTTGACCTTCCCGAATTCGTACCACACAAGTTGCTCGCATTGCATCAGCAACCACAGGCGTTTCTCGGGTCAGTTGTGAATTATGTAAGGGGAAAACATCGATCAAAACGATGAAGACCAAACAAGGAACAGCGTGTGAACGATAAATAAGAACACAGCTTACGCCCAATCAGAATTACATAAAAGGGAAGTACAGTAATTTAATATACAGTACAGTATACACTTTTTCGTGTCTTAAAATTTTACTGTAAACAAATTACAGAGAATTTCTATCCGAATTGGACTTCGTTTGAGTTTAAAATCAAACCAAAATGCCAGAATATGCTGTACTGTAATAGTGTAAGAAACAACCTCGGGAGCCACAGAGGTTACCATTACTTTACCTAATACCACAGCTCAAAAAAAGGTTTCATGTATTACTCGTCTCAATCGCAAAATATGAGATACATAAAAATGCTGCTCAATATCTGCCAAGTGAGCATCGATAAATAATTCTCGATATCACAGCAGATTATCTTCGATTGAATCACGTCCGAGTACAGGACACAAGTCACCCGGTGGTCATGAAGAGAGAACCAGAAGTAGTACTAGAGTAACTGATAACTACAGGTAATATTACGTGATATCTTGCGAGCATTTACTTCACTGGACACATAATTTTGCTCTGAGGAAACGTTATCGTCAGGGCATAAACAATATCTCATAGCACTGATTTGATGTACAGTACAAATGCCTGAGAAGAAAAAGAAAAAATTGATAAAATTTCATCCGACACAGTTCTACCCCAGACCCATTCGTTTTCATTCGTCAACGCAACCCAACGTGGGGTATTCCACGATAAAAAAATAAATTTTCGCAATAGAAGCGAACCCATTCCCATAAAAGACAATCAAACGGAGGTCAAGTACAGTACTGGGACTCACCGGGTACGACAACTGAGCGGGCAAGAAAAACGCATTCGACCCCCACAGGTTGACTGCGTTCACGGAATCCGCAAAGAATTCCGGAGGGAAATTTGCCTGCGGCTCAATTATCGCTGCGTTTACGGAACTTTTGCCGATTGGCAAAATTTTAGGACAAAAAGCTGAAGCTTCGTTCACTTCTCCCGAACAAAAGTTTAAAACTGCGATCGACACAAGTCCTTGACAAACACTTGGAAAAATTAGGTCTACAAGTGACAACAATTGCACGGAAAATAAGCATCTCCAGATTGAAAAGAATTTCGCAAAATTTCAAGAGAATGTTTCCCTTCAAAAGTGTGACCACATAAAAGCATCCTCGTATACTTCGTCCTCAACTGACTGATGTTTCATTAAAGGAAGGGGAAATTTCACACAACACCTAGATACGGCAATCCAAAAACTCAGCGTTTAAAAAAACTTTAAAGTTTGCAGGAATGACTCTTGCGATCGAGACATATTGAATATATACGTGAAGTTCATCAGTTTTTTTTTCTAAATTGGAAATTGAAGGAAACCATAGACATACTGTACTCAAGGTAACGTATCTTGTCCATCGAGAAGAGAAATATGACTCAGAAAATGTGCAGCATTCGAAGGACGACTATTTTCGTCATTTTGCTGTTCGTTACATTCATATCAATGAATCATTCCGACATTCGTTTTGAAAAAGCCGAAAAAATCAAGGCATCGAACACGCGTACAATACTGCTAAGATTTCATCACATTAACCTCGTTTGACACTCATTTCATCACCCCTAATGTGTTCTCGACTCTGCAAAATATTCACGTTTTTATATATGCATTGGCCAAAGAATCACACCGAACACTTTGAAAAAGTTGTCAACGTTCTGCAGACTGGAATTTATGCAAAGAATTGTAAGCGAGAGACCCAAGACCGGGAACGGATTGAAGTTATCGAACAAAATTGCCTCGTTAAGCATTTTAGCCATCTCCGACAAACTTTGTGCCGGATTGGCACGATAACCAAACGAATGCAGAACAGAGTTTTCCAACCTTAATGAAAATCGCACCTCTTAGGAGAGAGGAAGATCCCCTTACGCATCACCCACACCACTTGATGAAGTTGCGCCATGCAAGTACAGTACTGTACCTTCAAATGTTCAACGGGTTCCACTCTTATCAAATTTCGCCCTCACTCAGAGTTGAGAACGTAGGATTTAAAATTACAGCACTTGACAATAAACCTCTGCAGGCTCCATTTCCGAACTACACTAGTTTCAAGTAAAGTAGCAAATTTAGCAACGCAAGTTCAACACTCGAGACGCTTCATTAATTTATGCTTATTTTTTGCAAGGGCAATTCCATATACCAACAGTATGATACACAAGACGCAAAATGGCACAGTATACAAGCGGACACTTCCTACAACGACCTTGACTACAACGATTTTCTCTAAACACGATATTTTTTTATCTCAAAGGGTCCTATCCTAATGTTATAGAGGTTTACTGCAACGAAATTCTTTTTTGTTTCTGATCCCTTGAATCTCGCTGTTGACACAGTCCATCCGCATTAATCAAACTGCTGTTTCTCGAAATTTCACCTTTTATTTCTACGTCCATACATCGGGTTAATGGAAATAGTCGTAACACCGGATCTTACTGTACGCACAGTACGTCCGAAACGGAATTTTCCGGTTTATTAACGTATTTTAATTTAAATCCTAGAGACGTAGGTAAGTACAGTACTCCCTATGCTAAGGTGTATATCACCCAGGAGGTGGTAGCGCAAAACACTCGCAAACCCTCAAATGTCGTGAAATCCACAAAATAGTTGAGAAGCTCGAACGTTCACCAGGGAAAGATTTCTCGACATCATGACTTAGTTCCATTCGAAGCAGAAGTCGCGTCACATGATACGAGGGGGAAAATTCAAATCCAATTCCCGAGGCCGTGTCCGCGGGTTTAGCCCTGCACCAGAAGGCCTCTTACACTCTACTAGTCTACAGCGAGGAACGGGCCGAAGTGAAGCCCGACCCATCCGCGACCCCCGGAAAAAAGCCATCGACGTCGGCGGCGGTGGGTTGGGAGGAGCCCGGGCTCGAGAGAAAGCCCCCGGCGGGTGATTCACAGGCAACCCGGTGGGTAAGCGTGCCAGGGTGGGGGCACAAGCGAAGGCGCACCATGCAGAGGTTCGTTTCGGGAGAGCGCTTCCTGGGCCGGACTGGCGAGGGGTGCGGGAACCCCCTCCTCGTCGGGTGACCCCGAGTCGCGCGCAACTTCACTTTCCCATCTTTTTTTTTTCCCCCAGCGAAGATCCCGTACACTGCGCCTCGGAGTTCTTCGAGCACAGGACCTGACATCCTGCGGTCGTGACGAGAAACTAACGCGTTTCCTGCTTCGAATGATTCATTATTTTACATTCTAGATCTAGACAGTCTCAATCTCAGTTCCATGGATTCTCTACACAGGGAAAGTTGAATTTAGCTCAAGGGGAAGAATCCAGATTTGCAAAGAATTGGCCAAGAGAAAATTTGCATCCGATCCCTACTATAATTTTCGTTGCCCGGAAGAACAATTTGCATCACATAATACAGGTCTAAGGGGCTCCGACGCAGAATTTCATTCCAGTAGGGGCTGCGGCAAAGAGAACTTCTGTTAAAATTTCTCCTCAGACAAAATAAAACGAGGATGAGTGAATATGGCTCATTCGATTCAAGACACAAAAATCCCAGGCATCGCCCGCGGATCCGTTCCATTCTTTCATATCACTCATTGAAGAAAACCATTCTTATTTCACAGAATAAGTGAGCGAAATTCATCATCGTATACAAAATGTAAGACAATTTAAAAATTATCTAAGATTCGAAATCTCACGCTCGGACAACTGTAAGTCACCAATAAGTCAATTAAAATAAGTTTTCGAGGGTTGAACACGAATATGGACTTAAAAATGCATTTCGGAAGGTCAAACGGGACGGAATAGAGAGAAAGCCTTTTCGGGCCATGACTTACTTATACTCAAAACACTACTCCTAAAAATAGATACTGTATTCGTTCTTTCGGTAAAGAAACACGGGTGAATATTTTCGATCAAAGATAAGCCAACCAACAGCGATCATCACCACAACTCGCATATGAAAATACCGTACATATTCTTCTTCACCTGCCTGATTTTTAGCGAAACCGATAACCCGCCCGCCAGGCCTTCCTCACCACATGAACACAATCCCCGCCAAAGCGTGGTTACTACCCGGGCAAGCATAAACTCGAAAAAAAACACATTATTAATAATAAAATACAGTACAGTACCGTATAGTATATACATAACATAAGTTCATATCCCAGCGGTTTCCGCTTTTGCACGCCACGCAGCCGCGCGGCACGGCTGGCGCAGTCAACCAGCAATCAACGCCGCCATCGCGGGGAAAACGCAAGGTCCGTTCATTCATTCATTCAATCATCCACTTCTTCTCTTTTCCATCATTCATTCCTTCCACTACAGCAGCTACACACACACACACATACACAGACAGGAACAGATGAAACATTTTATGCATCCCTCCAGGGGAGGAGGGGTGTACGTATCACGCCCGATTCAGTGCGCGCAAGGGCGAGTCATCAAGGCTCGCCCACATGGCCTTCGTGGCAAACCAGCACGCATGGCGTGAGTTCCCCTGACGTCGGCGCCTGCGATGTGAACTCCGGAACAAGCGTGTAGAGAGAGAGAAAAAAAACTACCATGATAATTTTTAAAAATATACTGGGGATTTCTCAAAAGTCTCGCGAGTTGCGTAAAAACACATGTTACAGTAATTAATAAAGCACTGTATTAAATCGAGTACCACGCGCGCTCCCGGATTTTTCATCCTAAAATTCTTTATAAAAATATATTCCTGAATACGAAAAGCACCCTATTTTCGAAGACTGAAAAATCGAAACATTTGGAAAATAAAATGCATCAAACTGGAAATTTTGAACCTAATTCTAATCAGATAGAATTTTAATGTTTCATCATTTTCATTTGTATATGGTCTGTAGGCAATGGGGCAGAGTTCCCTCTTGTAATCAAATATGAGTTACACCAAAGCTTAAAATAGTTTTTAATGTTGTTCCCGCTCATGATGCGCACCCTCTCTTTTCATCTGAATTTCGAAAAAGGGGCGTGTGGTATTCGAGTATGCATCGTAAATGTGAGCTATCAAAAGGCCTTTTGAAGTTGAACCCATCGTGGATGTTAAGAGTGTCCCAACAGAGAACCGACATCCTCGTGGAAGCCGCATAGACGGGGAAGTTAATGCAATACAGTATTTCATCCGATTTCGTCCCTCGGCAATGGCTTTCTTCTTGTTGTTGCTCTCGTGTTTAAGGTCAGGGATATTTATATTACTGCGAGTAGCAAGAAAATGGAATACACTTCGCTTTGCCTCATGAATGCTGGTCAAAGTGGTTCAACCATCAATAATTTACAGTACTTTACTTCTTATTAGAAAAAGAGATGAAAGGAAAAAAATGAGAGCGCAAGGAAATATCTCACTTAGGAACGGCCTCTACTTGGAACAAGAAGTAATTTTTTTATGAAATAATCTTCAAGCAAGACCGCATGAACTGGCGAGCCACCCAAAAATGCGGTCTGCCACATCAAGCCGAACAAAAGCTGTTAAAAATCTCGAGAAACTTAATTCCATGGAATAAAAATAAATCCAGAACCCAAGGAAAGCGGTGGGAAATTTTTCGGACAGGAAGCGGCTCACGTAGAAATTCACAAAACCTCGGTGGCTTCTCACCCATGAAATAAGCAGAAAAATTTAGAAATTTGCTCGAATAAACCACATTTACCCGAGTACCACGCACATTTTTTCCTTTTCTGCAAAAATAATGCAGAAAAGTGGGCTACGCGTGGTATGGGCGTAAAATAAATCTTTCGAGAAAAAAAAACGAAAATCCGTGATTCTATTTATAAAGAAGTATCTAGGAAAGAAAATTATGATCAGGAAATGTTATCTCATACCAACGCTTCATGTACCGGTAATCACGATTATTCACATTACTATCAAGTTCAACACCATTGTTTGAAGAAAAACTAAATATTTTAAACCAAGAAAAACTTGTGTTCACGTAATACATTGCTAGGGTTTTCGGAAAATTCTATGCCAAAAAATGAAGGTAAACATCTGACAAATATTATCACAAGGCCTCAACAATTTCGGGTTGCCATACTCTAAATGCTAAGCAGTATTTTCCAGAAAAAATACACCAAGAACAGCCGTTATTTGAGTAAAACTTTGGGAATTATCAAAAAGGGTGAGTGAAACACTTGAACCACTTTTCACTGAAAATTATAATTCAAACCGAACACGAAAACAATGGCATTACAAAGTGTTGAGTAGTGATACTTGGCAGATCGTCTCTCATTTCCTTAAGCGAGTAAAAAGCTGATTTCTTCTAGCAGTTATTGAGCAAGTTATTTGATCTCTCAATTTCATTTTGTTCCCAACAGCAAATTTTTCGGGCAACTCGCAAGACTTTTGATAATTCCCTGGCATCATCTTCCCATGGTTCACTTCTGTCCGCCCATCCATACATACATCCATCCATCCATCCGTGTCTGTCTTTCTCTCTCTCTCTGGTACGGGATGTTGTCATTCATTCGCACACTCACGACGGCAAATGGTTGACTTTGCTCATCAGACACCCGTATCATCAATTCAGTCCCTTATTTAACTGGCTCAGCGGCGGAACCGAGCCAGCCAGCGGATCCCGACGACCACAAACAACTCACCCA